AGGACAGGAAATATGATGTTTTGGCCCAAGGCTCACCCAATAGTGAGCTCAAGAGGTCCACAGACCTCATTATATGCTTATTTCCCAAGTTTCTGAATGTATAATTGGAACAGACATCCTAGGCAACTGAGAGAATCACTACACTGCCTTCATGACCCACGGAGTAATGGCTATTGTAGGAACAGCTAAGTAAAGCATCCTGGAGCATCCTCTCCTAATGAGAATAATAAATGAAAACCAATACTGCATCCTCAGGGGAGTTGTCAACTTTAGTGACACTCTCAAAGACTTGAAAAATCCCAAGGCAGCAATTACTTTCACATTGCCATTTAACACGTGGACAGTGGATGAGGAAGGTAGATAAATTTTGGAGAATGATTATAGATTATCATAAATCAATCAGGCATTTTTTTGAAGTTGCTTTTCCAATTTGGTATATATATTGGAGCAAATCATCTCACACTCTGACTCCTAATATAGAGCTATTGATCCAGTGAATGCTTTGTTTCCCCCTCTATTAATTTACAAGACCCACCAGCAGCCATTTGCTTTCAACTGGCAAGGATTTGCCTCAGGGCTACAACAACTTTCGTGCCTTCTGCATAATCTAGGCCAAAGATATCTTGGTGATCTTAACATTCCACATAAATTATGATGCTCCATTAATTGATGGCATGCTAATTGGACCCAAGGCACACAAAGTAGCAAACACCACAGATACCTTACTTGCATGCATGCATGCCATAGAGTAGGAGAGAAACCTCATGAAAAATGCAGGGGCTTTTTTTTCTTGGTTTTAGAAACAATATGCACCAATTTTGATGTGTTACTACAGCCCATTTACTGAATAACCCAAAAGCTGCCAGTTTTGAATAGTGCCCAAAGCAAGAGGTTCTACAGCAATTTTTGGTCATATGACCTAACAGATCCAGCCACATTCCAAGTATTAGTGGCAAAGAGAGATGCTTACTTCTAGCAAGTTCTAATAGAAGAATCACAATGTAGACTCCTGGGGTTTGGGAGCAAAGCTATGCTCTCTCCTCCAGATAACAATTCTTTTTTCTCTAAAGAAACAGAGCTACAGGGCCCTGGTAGGGACATTTAGGACATTAAGTGACAATACAAAGTGAGCTGCTCATCATGAACTGGGTGATATCTGATCCAGCAACTTATAAATTGAGAGTATGCTCAGCAGCAATGACCATCAGTAGAAATAACGACTAAGAAATAGGACTCAAGAAAATTCTGAAGACACAAGTAATTTGTATGAGCTGTGCCTTAGACTCCCACAGCACCTAGTCCTGTGACGTTGCCTCCTTTTCCTCAGTATATACCTATGATGTCAGCAGGAGTTCATTATGATCAGCTGACTGAGGGAGAAAAACTCAGATCAGGTTTATACGTGGTTCCACACAGCATGAACCAGAGGTGAACTGCTACAGCGTAATAGCCCACATCAGATGCAAGTTAAGACAGTAGTGAAGGGAAATCCTTCCAGCGTGCAACATGAAAGAAGTGTATTTGGTTATCGACCCTGTCAGTACTGAAAATAGGCACTGATTCATGGACAGTGGATGGATGATTAGGGAATTGAAGAGGACAGGAAGGGGAGATTGGTGACAGGAGGACTGGAAAAGGTATAGAGATGGATGTCTTGAAGTGGGCACGGAGCAAAGATGTGTGTTTTGCTTGTATATGCTCACTGCATAGAAGGCTGTCAAAAACTCAAGATGGTATGTTGACCTATTCTGTGGATCTCAGCCAGATACTCCAGTGCTTAATGAATTCAAGTCCAAAGTAGTCATGGCAACAGGAATAGAAGCTCCTCATGGGCTCAACAATATAGACATCTTCTCACCGAGGTTGATATGGCTACTGCCACTGTTGACAGCCTAACCTGCCAACAGTGAAAACCTACACAGAATTCCTGGGCAGGGAGAGCCACCAGCCACCTGGACCCACCAGCCACCTAGCCCATCTGGTGGCAGATTCATTACATTGGGTCCTTTCCATTATGGAGGAAGCAGCAAAGAATAGAGAAAGTCAGTGAAATCAAAGGAAAAGCAAACCTGCTGCATCTTGCATCTGCTGCCACAAGGAAGGAAGCACAACTCTTGGTTGTGCCCCTTTGGGTTCTGGAGGCAACACATTACACCCCTAGAAATGCTACTCCAGCTAATATACTAGGTGACACCGAAGGCTTCCAGCTTATTAACATGCAGCAGGAGATACACAGGAAAGAGCTCTGCAGCAAGTCCAGGCCATGCAGCAATCAGCCCTGCCACCTCAGCCACACGATTCACCAGATCTTATGCTACTGGGTTGCACCGGTGGATTTCCCCTAGTGCGGCAAGGAGTCTATGGCAAGCTCTAGAAAAAAAATCACAGTGCAGATTTCTCAGACTCTGGGGTGGATTCATGTTACATCAGAGAAGTATGTGTCCTTTGAGAAAGAACTCTAGGTGTACGACTAGGTCCTAGTAGGAATGGAACACTTGACCTTGAGATATGAAATATCCATGATTCTGAAACTGCTAATGAGCTGTATTCTGTCACATTCACTAAGTCATAAAGTCAGGTTGGTCCAGCAAAATTTATCATAAATTGACCATGGTGCATCCCGGATTAAGCCCAAGCAGGGCTTGAAGGCATAAGACAGCTGCATACCTACATGGCCTAGACTCCATGTCTCCACCCAGATAGTTACACCGGGTTGTACCTCAGACCATATGAGAGATCCCACGAGACCGGCTGAAAGACCTTTCTGAACTTGGTTTATGAATAGGTTAGTTTAGTCTGTGGATATTTCAAGAGGTAGCCTTAAAAGACAGTGGAAAGGGAAAATCTTCCCAATGAGCAGTATACCTGGCCATCCAGCCTTTATGGAAGGAGAAGGGGCCCAGTGTGAAAATATATGTAGATTCCCAGGCAGTGATGTCTGGTCAAAAGCCTAGAAGGAAAAGAACTGAAAGATCAGAGATGAAGAGGTCTGCGGTTGGATGAAGGTGTGGGCACAAAGTGTGAAAATTTTTGAGTCACACATTAATGCCCACACTGAGAGTGAGTGCCTCTTTCAATGTGCACCCATAGACATCTCTCTTGGCTCACTCTAGCCCCCACCCTGCTCAAAAATCACCACACTCTATTGTTGAAGCCTGTACAGACTCAAGCAAAAGGGACAGGTGGAACATAGCAGAATGTACTATGTTTTAAAACTGCCACACAGACTCTGTGCTTAACATAGATGCTTTGATGGTCGATGTCAATGACATATGAAGAGGCTTCCATTCTATCCCACAGTCAACAAATGGGACCTGAGTGAAATGTATGCTGTTTTCCTAAGAGGAAAGTTTGCGATGCTCAGATCTAAGTCATTATAACGTTCCTCCCAACTACCATGAAGTATTATAGAAAGCATACCTCTATCCAGTTCCATGGGTTATTATTCATATTTAAATTTCATAAATGGAATCAATGTAACTGCCTATAAAAGTGTTTCAATGCACCCATTTTGAGAATGTCTTAGATGATATTCTTGGTAAGATTAAGATTAGATCATCTTGAATTGGACACTTATGATAAAAAGTTCTCCAAATGTAAAAACAGAACTACCTTACAACCCAGCAATTGCACTGCTAGGTATTTATCCAATGGACACAGGTATGCTGTTTCGAAGGGGCACATGCACCCCAATGTTTATAGCAGCACTATTAACAATAGCCAAAGTATGGAAAGAGCCCAAGTGTCCATCGATGGATGAATGGATAAAGAAGATATGATATAGGGGTGCCTGGGTGGCTCAGTTGGATAGGCATCTGACTTCAGCTCAGGTCATGATCTC